TTTAGCTACAAAATCCCACTCTCTCCCATTTTTTCCCTGCATTTCCCATTTTCCCCTTGCATTTCCCATATTTTCCCCCTTCATTTCCCATTCTTTTCCCTGCATTTCCCATTTCCCCTACTTTTCCCTTTTTTCCCCTACATTTCCTTTTTTTTTTCTACATTTCCCATTTCCCCTCCATTTCCCATTTTCCCCCTGCATTTCCCATATTTTTCCCCACATTTCCCATTTTTTTTCTACATTTCCCATTTTCCCTCCTTCATTTCCCATTTTCACTGCATTTCCCATATTTTTCCCCGCATTTCCCATTTTTTTCTACATTTCCCATTTTTCCCTACATTTCCCATTTTTTTTTACATTTCCCATTTTCCCCTTCATTTCCCATTTTTGAAAATTTCCCATTTTTTAAAATTTCCCATTTTTTCCCTACATTTCCCATTTTTCTCTCCATTTCCCATTTCCCCCTACATTTCCCATTTTTTCTCTCCATTTCCCCCTGCATTTCCCATTTTTTCCCTGCATTTCCCATTTTCCCCATCATTTCCCATTTTTAAAATTTCCCTTTTTTTTTCTACATTTCCCATTGTCCCCATCATTTCCCATTTTTTTAAAATTTCCCATTTTTTCTCTCCATTTCCCATTTCCCCCTACATTTCCCATTTTTTCTCTCCATTTCCCCCTACATTTCCCATTTTTTCTCTCTATTTCCCCCTACATTTCCCATTTTTTCTCTCCATTTTCTCCCTGCATTTCCCATTTTCCCCATCATTTCCCATTTTTTTAAATTTCCCATTTTTCCTACATTTCCCATTTTTCCTCTCCATTTCCCCCTGCATTTCCCATTTTTTCCCTGCATTTCCCATTTCCCCCATCATTTCCCATTTTTTTAAATTTCCCATTTTTTTCCTACGTTTCCCATTTTTTCCCTACATTTCCCATTTTTTCTCTCCATTTCCCATTTCCCATTTTTTCTCTCCATTTCCCATTTTTCCTCTCCATTTCCCCCTGCATTTCCCATTTTTTCCCTGCATTTCCCATTTTCCCCATCATTTCCCATTTTTTTTAAATTTCCCATTTTTTTCCCTACATTTCCCATTTTTTCCCTACATTTCCCATTTTTTCTCTCCATTTCCCATTTTTCCTCTCCATTTCCCCCTGCATTTCCCATTTTTCCCCGCTCCACCTGGGGCTCCCTGGGTTTTCCTGGGAGCCCCTCCCTGGGGCTGCGCTCTCACTTTTCCATCTCTGCTCTCTTCAGCAGGTGGTGCAATCTCAGAGTTGCTATGAAGACTCTCCCTTCCCTCCCTGTCTCCTTTCCTCCCTTGGCTCCCCAGTGGTGGAAAATGCTGGAATTCCCAGGCAGGACTGGCACAGACTGAATTCCAAGGATTTCAGGGAGTGGTTTGGGGCAGGAGTGACTCTGCAAGAGGGAGCAGCTCCATCCTCCTGCTGCCTCTCCACGGATCAGGCTGGCACTGAGCTCCAGCCGGGAATTTTTGGGGACAAATCCCTGCCCCAAATCCCTGCCACTCCAGAGCCTCTCCACCTTTTATCTCCCAAAAATCTCTCAGCATTCCTGGATGGAAGAACAGCCCAAAGTGTGAGTTTGGATTCCTCACTGTCTCCTGCTTCCTTTTCCAGCTGGGAATTCCCAACTCTCTGAGCCTGGCTCTTCCCAGGGCAGAGCTGCTGATCCCAGCCCGGATCTTCAGGAATTTCCAGTTCCTGAGGCCCCTCTGGAATCTGCCTTGGTTTTGTGTTTGTTTTTCCCGCTCTGCCAGTGGCAGAAGGAGCAGCTTTAGATAAAAAAGTCATTTTCCAATGGTTTTTTTTCCAGCCTGTGATTCCCAAAGCTCTGCTGGAGTTCCCTCCTGTCCTTTCCAATGGTTTTGTTCCTTCTCTTCCCTGGGAAATTCTCCTCCAGGAATATCCAGGCTCCTCCTTGATGAATGAAAACCAATTTTTTTTTTGTCAGAACTGAAGCAGAACTTTTCCAAAGGGTTTCTGTTTTTCCCATTTCTGGGTTAAAAACAGGATCTGGCAGCTCATTCCCAACTTTTATTCCTTCAGGAATTCCTGTAGGAATGGGAATGACTCATCCCACAGCAACATCCCGATCAAAGGAAATTTCATTCCTAAATCCCCTTTTCTCCCCCAGACTTTGGAGTTTCATTGCTCTCAGTGTTCCCCCAGGTGGAATTATTGGGATTATCAGGAGCTGTTTAGATTTCCTGGGTGTCCTGCAGGCACTAAAAAGCAGGAAGGGAGTTGGAAAATGATGAATTTGCAGCCAGCACCGTGCAGGTGTGAAAATGAGGAGAGAGAAAACATTTGGAAATCAGAGGTTTTGAAATTTTTCAAAACTTGACTTTTTCATTCCCAGCTTTGGGGACGCTTGGGTTCATTTGGGGAAATTCATGACCACGAGTGTAAAATTCCTTTTCTTTTTTTTTTTTTTTTGTTCTTTTTTTCTTGTGGGGTGACTCTGCTGTGCCAAACCCACCCTGGCTGCTGGGCCTGACCCCCCAAATTAAAAATGCCCAGGCCAAGGTTCTGCAGGTTGGGTTAAAGCATTGAATCCCCCCAAACTCAGCTTCCCCTCTGTACAGTGTAAATGCCTTTGTTTATTCCCACCTTTCTCTTATTTCCTGCTTTATTCCCATCTTTATTTCCTGGTCTGCTCCCATCTTTATTTTATTTCCATCCTTATTTTATTTCTTGCTTTATTCCCATCCTTATTTTATTTCCCAGTTTGTTTCCATCCTAATTTTCTGTCCTGATTATTCCCATGCGTATTTTATTTCCCAGTTTATTCCCATCCTTATTTTATTTCCCAGTTTGTTTCCATCCTTATTTTCTGTCCTGGTTATTCTCATCTTTATTTTATTTCCTGATTTATTCCCATCCTTATTTTATTTCCTGCTTTGTTTTCATTTCATTTCCTGGTTATTCCCATCCTTATTTTATTTTATTTCCCACCTTATTCCCATCTCTGTTTTATTTCTCACTTTGTTCCCATCTTTATTGTGTTTCCTGCTTTCTTCCCATCCTTATTTTATTTCCTGTTTTATTCCCATCCTTATTTTAATTTCTTTCCTGGTTATTCCCATCCTTACTTTATTTTATTTCCTGATTATTCCCATCCTTATTTTATTGTATTTCCTGCTTTATTCCCATCCTTATTTTCTTTCCTGCTTTATTCCCATCCTTATTTTCTTTCCTAGTTTATTCCCATCCTTATTTTATTTCCTGGTTATTCCCATCCTTATTTTATTTTATTTTATTTCCTGATTTATTCCCACCCTTATTTTATTCCCTGGTTTTGTACAATACTGGAGCAGCTCCTGCAGTGGTGGTGGTTCTGTGTTTGTAAATAAAGAGGTACCTTCCATTTCCTAAAATCCACGGGTAAATCTTGGCTTTTCCATGGAAAAGTTGGGGGTTTCTGTTGTGCTGGAATTTGGGGATCTTTCAAACACGCTGTGTTTGGGGTTTTTAGGGTATTTTTGGTTGGTTTTAGTGAAGGGGAAGGAGTAAAGCTGGAGTAAAATCAAACCCTGAGTGCGCAGGGAATGGAATTCCCAGCCAGGGAATGTCCCAGTCCAGGCTGGACGGGGTTTGGAGCATCCTGGGATGGTGGAATGGGTGGGGTTTGAGGTCCCTTCCCACCCAAAGCAGTCTGGAATTCCCAGATCCCTGAGTGCACTCGGAGCTGGGAGGGGAGGGCAGCTCCAGGGGGGTTGGGAAAATCCTCCTGGAGCTTTGGGAATTCCTCAGTTCAGTTTGAGGAGCGTGAGGAAGATAGATAGATATAGATGTTCATAGATCTGGATGTTCTTCATGGGCAGAGGAACTCAGCAAACCCAAATCCCTGTGGGAATCCAGGGATGCCCTTCAGGAGACTCTGATTATGGGATGCCTTTTCCATAAAATTGTGGTCAGAAACTATGGAGAACATGATTCCATAGAACTGTAGGGAGTTTCTCCATCAAAAAACCTGGATTTTCCAGGGAAGAACAATTCAGCAGTGCATGATTTGTTTCCATTGAGCCGGGGGGAGTTCCTCTATCAAAAAGCCTGGATTTTCCAGGGTAGAACACTTCAGCAAGTGCATGATTTTTTTGGGATGCTTGAGCACCGCATGGATCCCACCTGAATCTCCTCTCCGAGCATTTTACTGGAATGGCAGCGTGGGAGCAATTCCTGTGGATCCATCAGTGGAGATTTGGGGTCGGATCCCTCAGGGGTGAGGGCTCTCAGAGCTCTCCCAACTCCTGTGGCTCCTTCCAAGGCTGGGAATTTCATCCAGAGCCTGCCCTGGAGCTTCAGGAGCCCTCAGCTCCCAGGATTTGCTGGACCTTCCCTGAGGGTTCTTCCTTGGAATGTTTGGGCCTGTTGTGCCCTGGCTGTGACATCAGAGCCGCTCCCATGGGAACGGCTCCAGGGCCTGGTGTGGACACGGAGGGACCGGAGCCCACCAGGCTCAGACCACCCTGGATTCCCATGGATCAACCCCAGTAGAGGTTGGAATGCTGGGGTTGGATTTGGGGAGTGCTCCAGACTGGGATGTGTTTGTACGAGTGAGGATTGGACAGGGCCTCCCATGAGGAATTGGGATTTCCTCACACTCCGGTGTTATTTGGGAGATTCCAGCAGTAATTCCTGCTGGGAATTCAGAGTTTGGTGGGAAAATGAAACTGGAGCTGCTCCTTTTCCAGTGGGAGTCCATCCAAAATAAAACCCATCAAAAATAATGATGGGAGTCTTACAGAGAGGAGAGAATTTCACTCCGAAATTGCCAAACACACCCAAAACTGATGGAATTGGGGCAGAGTTGGATTGGATCCAATGGATCAGAACATCCTCCTGTCCTGTTCAAAGAACATCCCCGATGGAATTCCTGGAATTCCCACCCTGCTGGATCCTGTAACACCTTGCTGTGTCTTTTTTTAGTAGTGCCTCCAGCTCCACATCCGGGAGGATTTTCCCAGGTGGAAGGATTAGATCTGGTGGGATGTCAGAGACATCCCGAAGGACCTGGAAGATTCATGGAATGATTCCGGGGGGTTCGGAGTGCTGAACCCAGACACAGAAACACCTGCAAGATGGAGCAGAGCCCCATCGTGGTGATCCTGCTGTGTGCCCTGTGCATTCCAGCGGCGCTTCCCTTGGAACTGGGAATGGAGCTTCCCTTGGAACCGGGAATGGAGATTCCCTTGGAAATGGGCATGGAGCTTCCCTTGGGATCGGGATCGGGATCAGAGCTTCCCTTGAGATTGTACTCAGAGCTTCCCTCGGAATCAGAGCTTCCATCGGGATCGGAGCTTCCCTTGAGATTGTACTCAGAGCTTCCCTCGGGATCGGGATCAAAGCTTCCCTCGGGATCGGGATCAGAGCTTCCCTTGAGATTGTACTCGGAGCTTCCCTCGGGATCAAAGCTTCCCTCGGGATTGGGATCGGAGCTTCCCTTGAGATTGTACTCGGAGCTTCCCTCGGGATCGGGATCAAAGCTTCCCTTGGGATCGGAGCTTCCCTCGGGATCGGGATCGGACCTTCCCTCAAGAGTAGGATATGAGCTTCCCTTGGAACTGGGCTCAGAGCTTCCCTCGGGATCGGGATCAGAGCTTCCCTCAGGAGCAGGATTGGAGCTTCCCTCGGGAGTGGGATCAGAGCTTCCCACGGCATCGGGTTCGGAGCTTCCCTCGGGATTGGGATTGGAGCTTCCCTCAGGATCGAGATCTGAGCTTCCCTTGGAAGCAGGCTCAGAACTTTCCTCGGGATCGAGATCAGAGCTTCCCTCAGGAGCAGGATTGGAGCTTCCCTCGGGATTGAGATCGGAGCTTCCCTTGGAACCAGGCTCAGAACTTTCCTCAGGATTGAGATTGGAGCTTCCCTTGGAACCGGGATCAGAACTGTCCTCGGAACCGGGATTGGGATCAGATCTTCCCTCGGAACCGGGGTCTGAGCTTCCCTCAGAAGTGAGATCAGGCTCGGAGCTTCCCTCAGAACCAGGCTCAGAGCCTCCATCAGGATCTGAGCTTCCCTCGGAAGCGAGATCAGGATCGGGATCGGCGCCTCCCTCAGAACCAGGGCTGGACCTGAATCTCCCGCTGGGCACGGAGTCCATCCCGCTGGGGCTGAAGGCCATGGTGGTGGTGAACTCCACGCCCTGCAGCGTCACCTGCGGGCTGGGCGTGAAGCAGGAGCAGCTGTGCGAGGTCAGCCCGGCCGGGGAGCACCGCAACTGCTCCCTGGTGCGCTCGCGCTGCCTCAGCGATTGGATCTGCGGCCTCCGGCACCTCAGCGTTCCCGAGGGGAAGCCCCTCCAGCTCACCTGCCTCTCCCCGGACGCCGCCAGCCTGGAGGGACCGAACTTTGGCTACACCTGGAAGTTCGCCCAGGGGCTCATCACCACCAACGACCTCCTGTTCCACCCCTTCCGCAACCCCAGCCGTTCCCTGAGCTTCTCGCCGGCGCTGGAGTCGCATTCCGGGACCTACCGCTGCGACGTGCAGGTGCTGAGCTCCTTCCAGCTCGTCAAGAGGATCTACTTCGGCCTCAGGGTGATCCCCACCAACCTGGTGGATCTGGACTTCCAGAAATCCCTGACTTGGGAGCAGCAGCTGGCGGCCAGCGGGGAGGAGGTGCCGGCAAACGCCACGGGCCCCCCGGAGCACAGGGAGGGTTTTTGGGAGAAGCAGTGGTTCTACGAGGTCGTGCTGGGGATTGGGAGTGGGGTGATCGTGGGGATCGTGTTCAGCCTCGGGCTCTGCTGCCTGAGCAGGATTTGCGGGAGAAGAGCAGCACGGGAAATGAACGGAGATTGACGCAATTCCCTGTCTTTGGCTCTTTGTTAGGATCAGGAATTCAGGGTGGGAATATTGGGATCGTCCACAGTTGGATCCTCCCCTTCCAACTCAGGACGTTCCATGGATTGATCAATATTATTGAATATTTTTGGCTACTTTGGAGCCTGGATTAAGAATTCAGGAATTCAGAATGTGATTCTTTGGGTCGTCCACAGTTGGATTTTGGTGATCCTCCCTTTCCAAAATCCACCGTTGGATTTTGGTGATCCCTCCAACTCAGGACATTCTATGGATCCCATAACCATTTAATGGGATATTTAGAATTTATTTGCAACAGACACAGCTCATTATTGAATATTTTTGGCTGCTTTGGAGCCTGGATTAAGAAATCAGAATGGGATTCTTTGGGTCACCCACAGTTGGATTTTGGGGATCCTCCCCTTCCAACTCAGGACATTCCATGGATCCCATAAGTATTAATGGGGATATTCAGAATTTATTTGCAACAGACACAGCTTCTTATTGAATATTTTTGGCTACTTTGGAGCCCGGATTAAGAACTCAGGAATTCAGAATGGGATTCTTCAGGTTGGCCACAGTTGGATTTTGGTGATACTCCCCTTCCAACTCAGGACATTCCATGGATCCCATAAGTATTTAATGGGATATTTAGAATTTATTTGCAAAAGACACAGTTTATAAATTAATGTTTTTGGCCACTTTGGAGCCTGGATTGGGAATTCAGGATGGGATTCTGAGGGTCGTCCACGTTTTTTCCTTTTACCAGAATGACACAAAAATGCTTTGATACCGAAAAACATGGGGATGGAAGGAAATAATTTTATTTATTTGAATGAAAACCAAACCAGGCACTTCCCAGAGCTGATTCCCAGAGGGTTTTTTTCACCTCCTGAACATGGAAAAATCAGGAATGACCCATCACAGCGGGCTGGGAGTTAATGGTCCAGAGCTGCCCCATCTGCAGGAGCCTCTCTGCTCTTTGTCATGGAAATTTCAATGTCTTGGGCCCAGCTGGGATTCCCAAATCCAGCGGGATGAAAGCTCCAGCTCTGCTGGGGGAGTCAGAGCGGGAGCCAAAAATCTCCTTCATCTTTGGATTGCGGGGTTTTGTAATTTCTGAGGGGAGCCAGATGCTCAGAGCCGGGAAAATGAATCCGTAATTGGAGTTTTTATTTGGAGACCGACGGCTGGGATGGCCACTGGGGTCCAGCTGTCACAAAGGGCCTTTAATGGGATTTTTTTAAGGGGGTGCTCTTTGATTTTTGAAGGGATATTAAGGATTGGGGGATGTTTATCATAATAGGGAAAGAAAGGGAGAAGGCAGGAAAAGGGAATAGCAGAGGATGGATCTCAGTGCAAGGAGGGAAGTAAAAACCCTTGGAAGAGCATCCCCATCCCTCCTTTTTCCCCTCTCTCCCTGCAAAATCATCTTTTCTTAATCACTGCCAATGAATTCCCATCACAAAGGGCAGAAATTTAGGAAAAAATGTCTCTCTGCTCTGAGCTCTGGGACCTTTGGGATCACCAGAGGCTGGAGCTGGCCAGGGCTCCTTCCCTCTCTCCATCTTTCCTTCATCCTTCCCTCTCTCTATCCTTCCCATCCTTCCTTCATCCTTCCCTTTCTCCATCCTTCCCATCCTTCCTTCATCCTTCCCTCTCTCCATCCTCCTTCCAAATCCCCCAAATTCCACTTCTCTCCCTGGCTCTGCACACCTTTAACCCCTGAGCTGTATTTTAGGAAGATCTGAGAGCTTTTAAGGAGGATTCCAAGCCAAAAGTGTAGATTTTTGTAATTTCCCGAGGTCCAAATGCCGGATTTGCGGGTGCAGACCCCTCCCCGTGGCTCTCCCAACCCTGGATTAATGGAATGCCAGAAGGGACTGCCCAAAACGGGGCTTAACAAAGCCTGAGCTGCCCTGTCTGGAGAGGGATTTCCCTGCCACCACCTGGGCTAAAAAGGGCGAGGAATTGGCATTTAAAGGGAAAACTGCACATCAGGGCCCAGCCAGGAAATTCCAGGGTCGGGATTGCCCAGGCTGGCACGGTTTTCTCTGGGATTGAGGAATCACAGCCAGGGAAAATCCCTAAACGCCCCTTGGGATGGAACCAGCAGCAACACCAACCAATTCTCGTTAACTTTGGTCAACTGCTTTACTGGGAGACAGAGATTTCAACAGGCAACATCGATTCCCAGCCAGTCCTGTGGGTGCTCAGCTCAGCATTCCTGCTTTTCCCAGCCTCTGGAGCGGAGGGGGCTCCTCAGCATCCCAGAGCTTCCTTGGGATGTCCGGCGGCCGTCGGAGCTGGAATCCAGAGCCTCTTCCTGGCTGGATCTCAGCTTTGCAGTCCCAATGAGAGCCTGGAATTTTGGCTGGGTGAATTCTCAGTGCAGGGAGATGAATCCGGGTCCAAATTTTCCTTCTTGTCCCAGCAGTGGCTTCCTCGAGTCTCCCATTCCTGTTTTAATTTTGTCATTTTTTAAAAATTCCTTCTTTAAGCCCCTCTGAAATTGGATTTATTGACACCTCTGTTTTTAGGCAGAGCTGCCCAAATTAAGGATTCTGGGAAAGGATCCCCTTCTCCCAAAGAGGCAAACAAGGTGACAAATCCACCCCAAAAGCACATGGGATATGGGAAAACACGGAATTTGCACCTCACAGCTGAGAAAAGCACCAGGTTGGGGCTGCAAGTGATCACCAGAGTAGTAAAAAAAGCTTTTCAGGCTGGGGTCGAGCTCGACCCTCCCGTGGGTTTGTCTCCTCGGGCTGGTTCCTGCAGGGTTTGGCTCTTTTTTGTGGGGAAAAAGGATCAATCCCGTCCCACAAATGCTCCGAGCTGGCTGTGGCGGGATGGGTGTGGAACATGCTGGTCCCTGAACTCCTCAGTCCCCGTCCCCCCACGGAATTCACTGTACAGAGTTAAAAAAAAAGTCAAATTTAGCAGTCTGGTTATCTCATACATGGCTTCGATAAGGCAGAAAACCTATGGATACAGTGAGGGCGGGGGCAGCTGGCTGCAGAATTCCCGGAGAATTCCTCATTTTCTTCGTTTTCCTTAAAAAACATTTAATCAGTTAAAGACCCATGTCTTGTATGAAAGCTTTTGTTCCTCCAAACCAAAAACAAACAAAACCAAAGCTGTTTTTAATTTCTTCCTCCCTTCCAACCACGTGGTCCAATCCTCTCTCTCCCTGCGGTGCTACCCTGAAGTGGGATTGGTGTTGTTCCCATGGGATTTGGTGTTGTTCCCTTGGGATTTGGTGGTGTTCCCATGGGATTTGGTGTTGTTCCCGTGGGATTTGCGTGGTTCCCATGGGATGGGGAGGAGCCGAGGTCAGAGCTCCAGGGAGCTGATCAGGGCCACCATCAGCAGGGAGTTGGTGGTGACAACCACGACGTGCGGCGCCGGCCTCATCCCCGAGTCCTCCACCATCATGCTCGTCCCTGGAAAAAAACAGGGAACAGGGAGTTGAGGGAGGTTTTGTGGGGTTTTTTGTGTGTTTGGTGCTGGTGAAACTCCTGGGAGTGCTGGGAGCAGGAATTTGGGGGTGGGCGCTGGGAATTCGCCCCTGGAATTTAGGGAATTTGATGGAGCTGTGGCCCCACAGAAATGGGGTTTCACTCTTGGTGGAAAACTTAAATGGTTTTTAAGTCATAACTCTTGGGAAGTTGGGGGTTGTGGGGTCTGGAGGCTGCGGATCCTAAAGCTGGGTCAGGCTGGAGTGGGTTTGGGAAGAGGAGTGGGGAGAAGGAGAAGAGTCAGGAATTCCTATGGGTGAACAGCACAAGGGAACCAAAGGCTGATTCCAGGAAAAAACAATTCCAGAAAGGACCAATTCCAGAGTCTGAACCTAAAACCCTGCGGGAGGATGTTCTCCCATGGCCCTGGAAGGTGGAATGGGGTTTTAAACCACAATTTATTGGGATCGTGCCGTGGCCAGGATGGGAGGGGGCGTGACTGAGTCCTTGCTGCTGGGAAGGGAAGGACAGGAGGCGCCCTGTGAGCTCCGGGGCCTTGGAGAACCTCGGAAAGGGGAATTTGGGCATGGAGAGGGTGTGGTCAGGGAGCACAGGGTGTGGGTGTGGCCAGAGGAGTGGGTGTGGTCGATGGTGTGGGTGTGGCTAGTAGAGTGGGTGTGGTCAGTGGAGTGGGTATGGTCAGAGGGCAGATGTTGGCTGGAGGGGCGCATGGATGGGTGTGGTCAGTGGGAAGGGTGTGGCCAGTTGAAGGGGTGTGGTCAGCAGGGTGGGTGTGGCTGGAGGGGCACGTGGATGGGTGTGGTCAGTTGAAGGGGTGTGGTCAGCAGGGTGGGTGTGGCTGGAGGGGCACATGGATGGGTGTGGTCAGTGGAATGGGTGTGGTCAGTGGAATGGGTGTGGTGACTGCAGTGGGTGTGGCTGGAGGGGCACGTGGATGGGTGTGGTCAGTTGAAGGGGTGTGGTCAGCGGGGTGGGTGTGGCCAGAGGAGCACAGGTACCGCTGTTCCTGAGGATGTGAACTTCTGCCGGGGTCCCGTCCCCGCCGGGCCCGGTCACCCGGATCTGGACAAAGGCGTGAGTGAAATCCTCAGGGATGGGGATGTCGATGTGGCTCTTGCTGGCCAGGTACAGGGTGGGGGCCGAGTGGGAATCCTGCCTGTAGAGCATCTGTGGGGAGAGGCAATGCTGAGCTCCTGTTCCATGTGATTTCCTTGGATCACCTCCAGGAGCAGCCCAGCCTCGCTGGCCTCACCTTGTACCCCGTCACCGCCGACTCGTCTGCCTTGGCCACCACGGGGTCCCACTTGATGCTGACTGTGGAGCCGGAAAAAGTCCAGGAGATGTTCCCAGGTGGCCTTTTTGGTGCTGAGGGATGCAAAACCAGACAGGGATTGGGTAAATCAGGGAGGGAGGAGAAGGCTGTGCTGGTCCCAGCCATCCCTGGGGCGTTCAGGGGACATCAAGCAAGAGCACCGAGATCAAAGTCTGGGTGATTTTGGGGGATCCTGTGGGAAGCAGAGGGGTCAGGGCTCACTCACGAGGTCTCGTGGTGGTGACGTTGGTGGCGGGGCTCGGGGGGCCGGTCCCTGCCCGGTTGTAGGCTCGCACTGACACGTGGTAGTCGGTGTTGGGGTTGAGGCCAGTGACGTGGGCCGATGTCACCAGCCCCGCTGTCCTCACTCTGTCAGCCGCCTCCTCCTTGTCCCCGTCCTTCCAGTACCGGATCTGGAAAAGGACAGGATGGGTTTAGGAAGGAGAGATCTGCAGATCCCGAGTCAGCCCACCCTGAAGGGCCTTCGGGTGTTTGTTTCTGTGTGTTTTGCTTTGTGTGCGCCCAGGAATGAGGCCACGGCCTCCCAGGAAAGGCAGGCAGGAAAAACTGGATGATTCCCTTTAATCTTTCCTGAGAGAGCAGTGCCAGCCCCATTAGAACCATGTGGTGTGAGAATTATCCCCACCTCTGGAATCAAAATGCTGTTTCCTTTCACCTCACATAACCCGGGGGAATTTTCCTTGCTGAGCTCTCAGGGTGTCCCATTCCCACTGGAATCTCCTACCTCGTATCCCAAAAGCACTCCAGTCATTTCTCCCTGCTCCACGGGCTCCCAGGACACATCCATCTCCGAGGACAGGACAGACTTGGCAATGACCCTGTAAGGAGCCGCTTTGGGTTCTGAAAGACAGGAATAAAATCCTTTTCCTGACTTCGGGCCCATCGGGAACAAGAGGTTTTCCCGCAGCGTCATCCCCTGGCAGACAGCTGGTGTTGTGTTACAGAGTGAGGGGAAGGGATTTAGGGACTTAGGGGGACAAGCAGGGACACAGCTGTGAGCTCTGGGATCCATGTCTGCCCCGAGGCTGTGGGGCAGCCGGGGCTGGGCTTAGGGAATCCTCACTCTGGGGGTTGGAGGAGTAGAGGAGCCAAAGGAATGTCTGAGCTCCTGGATGGACACGGATCTGCAGGGGAAAGGCGGTGGGTTGGACAAAACTGGGAATTCCGAGTCAGTGCAGTCGTGGAATGGTTTGGGTGGAAGGGACCTTAAGGCTCATCCAGTGCCACCCCTGCCATGGTGGGGACACCTTTCACTGTGCCAGGCTGCTCCAAGCCCCATCCAGCCTGACTCTGAACACTCACAGGGATCCAGGGGCAGCCACAGCTTCTCTGGGAATTCATCCTCTGAGGGAGCTCCCCACCCTCACAGGGAACAATTCCATCCCAAATCCCATCCATCCCTGAGCCATTCCCTGTCTCCTGTCCCTCCATCCCCTGTCCCAAATCCCTCTCCAGCTCTCCTGGAGCCCCCTCAGGCACTGGGAGAGGCTCTGAGCTCTCCCTGGAGCCTTTTCCTCTCCAGGTGAACACTTCCAGCTCTCTTGCTGCTCTTTACCTTCCTCTGCCGAGTACACGATGGCCGTGAGGCTCTCGGGGCCCTCCCCTTTCCTGTTGTAGGCCCTGATCTTCACCTCGAAGGGGGTGTAGGGCGCGATGCTCTCATTGCGGTACACGAAGTGCAGTGACTCCGCGTGCGGCACCCGCGCCCTCAGCCAGGCCTGGCTGCCCTTCCTCCGGAAGGACACGATGTACCCAAAGCCGTCCCCGTTCTGGTAGTCCCGCAGCGTCGGCTGGGAAAAGAGAGAGAGCCTTGGTCCGTCCAAAATGGGATTTGGCTCATGCAAACTGGGATGGTGGCACTGATTTCCTGAAGGAAATGTGCGCTTGGTCCGTCCAAACCAGCTCTTGGCTCAACCCCGTGTCCAAACTGGGATGGTGGCGCTGATTTCACAAAGGAAATGTGTGCTTGGTCCGTCCAAACCAGCCCTTGGCTCAACCCCGTGTCCAAACTGGGACACTGGCGCTGATTTCCCAAGGAAATGTGCACTTTGTCCATCCAAACCAGCCCTGGGCTCAACCCCCATGTCCAAACTGGGATGATGGTGCTGATTTGCCAAAGGAAATGTTGCTTGGTCTGTCCAAACCAGCCCTGGGCTCAACCCTGTGTCCAGACTGGGATGGTGCCGCTGATTTCCCAAGGAAATGTGCACTTGGTGCATCCAAAACAGCCCTTGGTGCATCCAAACCATCCCCGTGTCCAAACTGGGATGGTGGTGCTGATTTCCCAAAGGAAATGTTGCTTGGTCCATCCAAACCAGCCCTGGGCTCAACCCCCTTGTACAAACTGGGATGGGGGCGCTGATTTCCCCCCCCAAAAACGCCACGTGTTCCCACCTTGGTGCTTTCCCTGTTCCCAACTCACCGTCCAGGTGATGATGAGCTCGTTGGGAGCCCCTCCGCCGCCGCCGAGCCCGGACGGTGCCACTGTCGGTGCTGTGAGGTCCCCAAAAAAAGCAGAGTTTGGGTTAAGGAGGTGGGAGTGATGGAGAGGAACACAAACAAGGTGTGACACGGGATGGGACAGCTCCCAGGAAAGGACTGGGCTCTGTGGAATTCCAGCTTGTGCCTGACCAGGGATTTAGGGACAAGGATTTGGTGTCGGAGGGGACAAGGATGGCGCTCAAAAGCGGGGATGTGGAGGGGAGTTTTATTAGGAAGAAGCTGGTTTGCATTTGATGGATTGGGTGAGGTTCTCCTGCTGTTCTCCCATCCTTTCTGTCCAAGTAGCTGGACATGGAACGAACATTCCCAGCTGGATGCAGTGCTGGCAAGTGCAGCACTAATCCTTCTCATCTTTGACACAAGAAATGGGCAAAAAGATGGAAAATCCTGTGGTGGCCTCAGCTCTGGGAGCTCTCCAGGAGATGATTCATCCCATGGGACCATCCTGGGCAAGGACAGGGACCTGGGCTTCTCTCCACACCCACCTGCTTCCTTGGTGCGGATTTTGCTGGAGGGCAGACTGGGCTCCCCAATTCCCAGGATGTTGCTGGCCAGGACCCGGAACTCGTAATCCATCCACGGGATGAGGTTCACCACCTGCGCCGTCTCCGCGTTGCCCTCGATGTTTATGGGATCTGGAAAATCCAATAGCACCAGAGGGGAAGGAATAGAGCGAGGAGCAGCACGGAGCCAGGACTGGCCGGTGGCTGGTGGCCTCGGTGTGTCACCGGTGCCACCGTGGGGACACTCACTGGTGCGCATCTGCTTCCATTGGTTGGACAGGAGGGTCCGGGCCTCGATGAGGTACCTGGCGATGGGGCTGTGGTTGTCGAAGCCACGGCTCCAGCTCAGCTGGACGCTGGTGTCTCCGATGTCCCTCACCACCACCCCTCCAGGTGGGCCTGGAGGTCCTGGAGGGATGGGAAATGTGTCACTGACATGGTCTGGAGGTTTGTCACTCTCTGCATTGTGCAAAGCCTAAATTCACACTGGGCCTTTCTTTTCTGGAAGCTGGGAAGCTTCACCACCAGCTTTAGCCTCTGGAAAAGCTCCTCAGCCTGGTTGGAAAGGTTGGAAAAGACCTCCAAGATGATCAACCCCAAATTTTAGGTGAAAATAAAACCCGCTGGGCCGTATCATGGAATTATTGGGTGTGAGGTGGTTACAGAGCAGCTGATGGCACGGGCCATGTCATTGCTCTGGGTTTGCCGTGAGCAGGGAGCATTCCCACAGGGAATTACCTCTGACGGTGAGCGTGGCTGACTCGGACGCGCTGTCCACCACAGTCTGGGCCGTGCAGGTGTAACGCCCCGAGTGCCGCAGCTGCGCGTTGGAGATGCTGAGGTCCCCGATGGCCTCCTTCTGCAGGGCAATGGGACAACACGGTGGGGACAGCACCAGAAGGTGACCGGTCAGGGGACAGAATCCAGTGTGGGTAGGTGGTGGTGGAGGTGGAGAGGAGGGAGATGGGAAAGGATTCCCCCAGGGGTATGGAGCTGGATGGATCCAGGATGGATCCAGTTCTGGCCAAGGCCGAGCCTGTGCTGGGTCTGTTTGGCTTGGGATGGTGATCAAAGAGTGATCCATGAGTGATCAATGAGTGATCAGTGAGTGGTCAGTGAGTGACCACTGAGTGACCATTGGGCAATCACTGAGCGATCATTTAGCGATGGTTGAATGAACCTTGAGTGATCATTGGGTGATTGTTGAGTGACCAGTGAATGACCATTGAATGATCAACAAGTGATCATTGAGTGACCATTAAATGATCACTGATTGATCATTGAGTGATCATTGATTGATCACTGAGTGATCAATGAGTGGTTATTGATCCTTGCCTGCCTTTATCCACAGGCCTTTCCCTTTCTCCTCCAGTTTAGGAGGGGAGTGCTCATGGAATCATGGAATGGTTTGAATTGGGAAGGATCTTAAAGCCCATCCCGTTCCACCCAGCCATGGCCAGGGACACCCTCCACTATCCCAGGTTGCTCCAAGCCCTGTCCAACCTGGCCTTGGACACTTCCAGGCATGTGGAATTCACAACCACTCTGGACAAAGCGATGGAGCAGCTTTGGCGGGCACAAAGATGCAAATAACAAGTGTGAAATTAATTCTCCACCCTTTCGGATGGTCCGGAATTCCCTCTGGACTCACCGCGCTGGCTCGCCGGTAGTGCCCCTCGGACTTGTCAAAGTCGATGGGGAAATCATCCAGGGACCAGGTGAAGGTGAGGTCCATGGTGGGGTCGTGGGATGCGTGGCACTGCAGGGTGAGGTTCTCGCCCACGTTGATGTCGGCACTCGATGGTGCCAGCGTGATCTTGGTGGCATCTGCGGGAAGCGAGCGGGAAGGGTGATGAGCAGTGAGTGTCCCCATCCCAGTATCCAAACCATCCCTTCCAGCTCCTCATCCCGCTCCAACAGCTGGAGCTTCACAGGAGGAAGAGGAGGGACTAGGAAATGGAAATGCTTTGCTCAAGGGCTGTTTGTTACTGGGTCAGGCAGAAGTTTTGCTGCTCCACCTGAAATCACTTTGATTCCCTGATTATTCTGGTTTTTGGGAGTGTAAGGAGAGAAGAAACATCACACCATTCATTCTTGGCTGTTTCTTGCTTGATTGACCCCAAATGAACATCCCTACCTCGGACAGAGAGGATTCCAGTGCTGTTGGCTTTGCCCATGAAGTTCTCAGCAAAGCAGGTGTATTTTCCCTCATCGGATTTGCTGATGTTCTGCAGGATCAGGGTCCCGTCTGCCGTAATCGTCACCCTGCAAAGGAGGAGGAGCCACACAAAGGAGTGTTAAAATGTCCTCTGGACATTTGGGAGTTTCCACTGATTTTGGAGAAACCAGAGACAAAATCAGGCAGAAAAATATTGTGTAGGAGTTTGCTAAAGAAGAAATTAGAGGAGTAACAAAATTCAGGGAGCCAGCAGCACATTTGGATCATCGAGTCCAGTCTTCTGGTAAAAAAAAATATATATATTTTAGCTACGTTTTCTAGGTGGAAGCTGACTCTGTGCTGCTACCTGCTGCTGTTGACCAGGAGTTCTGTCCCTTTGGTCCAGAGCACGGTGGCTTTTGGTGCTGCTCGTGGCTGGCACGGGATGATGACCTTCCCACTGCGGGCTGCCGGGATCAGGCGCTTCACCGGGTTTAGTCTAAAATCTGGAGCTAAGGCTACAGGGATAAAAAAGAGGATTAAGGCACGATTAGAAACGCTGCCCTGGGGGGAATTTCAGCACCGTGCGAGTGGGAATTGATTTGTTGTTTGGATGGCTCGGTAAGAGAAGCGAGGCAGAGTCTGGAGAGCGGGATAAGGGAGGAATTCCTCGGCTGCTGGGTGGATCCTGATGCCTGCCAGGCAGGAATTATGTGGCACACGAGTGGGACGGAGCGATGGGAATGACCCTAACAAGTGCAAGGTCTTTGAGAGACACAACAACAGCTGCTTTGGAACATGTCGAGGATAATCTCTTCAATATCCTGACCAACGCAGACATCCAGCTTGCCTGAAACTCCTCCTGGAATTGCAGATGGAATCAGGATTTACCTGTTGGCCTCGGTGTCTTAATGTTGAGCAGTTGGTGCTCAGGGACTTTAATTTATCTTTGGCATCTCCACGAGGAGATAAACTTTTGGACTAACATGGAACAAGTTTGGCAGCAGTTCAGCTCCAGTCACCATCCATCAAACCAGGTGGAATGAAAGCTGAATTTTTTTTTTTTTTGGACCTCTTTCCTCCAAAAAAAGAGGAATTTGTAGTGGAAGAGAGGTTGTAGTGCTGCTGCTGGGTGTCCTGTCCACTTCCTGAGGCTAAACAGATTTTTTTGTCCACTTTCACACAGAATTTACACAGGATTTAGAATTTCAAGGCTTGCACAGTGTCTTGTTGAACCAGCAACCATTTCAGTGGTGAGCGGAGCAGTTTTTGCCCTCTCTTATCTCGCTGCGACATCACAATGTCAGGATCACATCAGGATATTATGAAGAGATTTTTTCAGTGTCCCATTGGAACCCAGAGCTCTGGGAAAGGAGGAATTACCTTGCACTGTTAATTCAGCACTTGCATAAACTGTGCCATGCTTGTTCTCAGCCACACACTGATACATGCCAGAGTCCTCCAGGACTAGCTTGGAAAATCTCAGCTCTCCACCGCTCACTTCGATGCGGTTCTGTGCAAACAAGAGGATGAACCCATTAGATGAGAAAAACAAAAAAATAAAAATGGAACTCTGCAGTCCTTGGCTGGGTCAGGGTTGAGTTTCGTCACAGACTCCCTGGGGTGGCCTGGTTTTCCATGGGGGAAAACGCAGGATTTGTTTTTATGTCTGTGCGCTCACTCCCCCGCGTCGCCGTGCTCTGCTTGCTGAGACACCTGAGCAGCAGCGTGCAGGTGACACCAGGGCAGGCACGAGGGGCTGTTTGTCCTCCCTGCTGGCCGGCTGTGAGTCCTTGCAGCTGCACAAAGCAATGGCTGGGATGGCAGCGCCGGGAGAGGGGAGTTGGGGATGGTGCCGTCGCTTCGCAGCCCGATGGGGGCACATGGAGGAGGGATGCGGGGTGAGAACCGGGGCGGGGATGCAGGAGCAAGGCAGGAGGAGGGGCTGGGGCTGGAGGAGCGGGGTCAGGGCTGGCTGGGGGGTACCTGGGACGTCAGGAGCTGCCCATCCCGCAGCCACCGCACCGTGGGCCGGGGCTTGCCCGAGGCCACGCAGCTCCAGCGCAGGTCGGACCCGATGTCGGCCTCGGTGTCCGAGATCACGTCCAGCCAGTCGGGCTGGGCTGCAGGGGACGAGAGAGAGAGGGCAGAGCCAAGGAGCTCAGCTGAGAGGTGGCGGTGCCAGGCTGGCAGAAGGGCGTCCCTGTGCCAGCGCTGCTGGCACAGTCCTTGGCACAGCGGGATCTGCCACGGGAACCGCCCCGGCCTTTTGTGCAGTGAGAGGCATGGCCGGGTCCTGCTGGGCAAGATCAGGGCAGAACCCAGGGCTGAGGAATTGGTTTCTCTTCTTAAGAGTAAATTCAGCCATTCCTGAACCATCAAATCATGGAATGGTTTGGGTTGGAAAGGAACTTCAAGATCGCCCAGTGCCATGGGCAGGAACACCTTCCACCATCCCAGCTTGCTCCAAGTCCCGTCCAGCCTGGCCTGGAACACTTCCAGGGATGGGGAAGCCACAGCCCTTGTGCCACCATCCCCATCCACCCTGTGCCAGGGCCTCACCCTCTGACAGTAAAGAATTTCTTCCTGATATCTCCTCTAAATCCTCCCTCTCTCAGCTTCAGGCCATTCCTGAACTTCAGTAAAAACTGGAATCAGGATGAGGTAACCAGCTTAAGTTTTTAAACTTGATTAGATCTGCTCAACAGCTCAGAGCGTTACCCCTGGTGGGAGCTCCTCAGGCTTGGAGAGGATCTTGAGCACCAGCCAAGTTTGATTTTTAGCACTCCCTTCCTTCCCTGGTTCCCTGATGTTTGCTGTGATGATTTTAGAGCCTGTTAAGAGCTCTCTCTCTCTCTCTCCTCGCCACAGCCCAAATGTGCCCACCAAGGAAAAGTTTCCCTGATCCCTGCAGGTCTTGGTTGGGGCTTTGCAACACCTTTAATTAGAGCTGTTAAGGGGCAGGATTAGAGGGGGTGGTTTTAGTCCCAAAGCCTTGGACCATTGCCTGGGGCACCTTGGGAAGTTAAAATGTGTTCTCTGGGTGAAGGACACGTGTTTAGGTGTGTTCCTTGGGTGAAGGACACGTGTTTCTGTTCCTTGGGTGAAGGACACAAGTTTAATGTGTTCCTTGGGTGAATGACATGTGTTTAATATGTATGTTCTTTGGATGAAGAACACATGTTTAATGTGTTCCCTGGGTGAAGGACACATTTTTGGATGTGTCCTCTTGGATAAGGGACACGTTTGGTTGTGTCCAGGATAAGGGATGAGTTTGGTGTGTCCCCTTGGATAAGGGATGAGTTGGGTGTGTCCCCTTGGATAAGGGACGAGTTTGGGTGTGTCCCCTTGGATAAGGGATGAGTTTGGGTGTGTGCCCTTGGATAAGGGATGAGTTTGGGTGTGTGCCCTTGGATAAGGGACGAGTTTGGGTGTGTCCCCTTGGATAAGGGACGAGTTTGGTGTGTCCCCTTGGATAAGGGATGAGTTGGATGTGTCCCTTGGATAAGGGACGTGTTTGGGTGTGTCCCCTTGGATAAGGGATGAGTTTGGATGCGTTACCGTGGATGATGATGCGTCCCTGGTAGGTGTCCCTCCCTTTGGCGTTTTCCGCCTCACACTCGTACGTCCCCTCATCCTCAAATCCAGCCTGCTGGATCTGCAGCAGGGGCTCACTGCCGATCCACTTGGAGGACTGTGGCCCATCGAGCTTCCTCCACTTGATCCGGGGCACGGGGCTGCGGAAAAGCCGAGCCAGTGAACCCGGGCTGAGCTCAGACCCCGTGTGGCCACCCCGGTCCTGTCCCACTGGGCCTTGGCTTTGGCCAGCTCCTCCCTTTTCCCATTTCCCTCCATCTCTGGTCTTCCATTGGAGATGCGGAAGTTCTGCCATTCCCTCCCAATCCCAATCCCCATCCCAATCCCCATCCCCATCCCAATCCCGATCCACGCAGAGCTGCACTCACTTTCCAAAGGCGAAGCACTCCAGGGTCACCACCTGCCCGGTCAGAGCGTAGGTGTCCGCAGGGAACTTGGCCTTGATGCTGGGTGGGAACTGCCTGGCATCTGCCACAGGGAAAACATCGCTCAGGGGACCTGGGTGACACCGAAATGCCACCCAGGGCAGGTCTCACAGGGCAGAGGGACCCGTGAGGTGACCTCCCAACCCGTTTGGGTGAGGGGACAGAGGTTTCATTTTCTTTTTCAGACAGCTCTTGCTATGAAGTCTCTAAAAATCTCTTTTATAACATCTCAGGGTTCCACAATTCCCGAGAATTCTGGATTCCCCAGAGTCCTGGACTGGTTTGGGTTGGAAGGTCCTTAAAGCCCATCCAGTCCCACCCACACTTTCCACTGTCCCAGGTTGCTCCAGTCTGTGTCCATCCAGGCCTTCCTCCTATTTAATTTCCTTTTCCCTAGACCAGAATTATCCTTTAAAAATAGAGAAATTGGATGGAGTGGAAACAGGGAATCTTGGAGAGAGAGCAGCTTCCCTTCCATCCCAGCCCATCCATATTTTTGAAGCTCTTAAGAGAGGTTGGAGGATGACTTGGGCACTGTCCCCAAAATGCTTTGCGGGGGGTTGTTAATTCAGATTTTTCCCATAAGAATTGGCATTTTTGGGACAATCCAAGCTGCACTGACCCTCTGCAGCCAGGCTGAGGCGGGAGAACTTGCTGAAGACACTCTTGGTGATGAAGTCCATGTGGCTTGTGGCAAAGCAGGAGTAGTTGCCCAGGTCCGAGGCCTCTGTCTTGGCAATGTAGAGGTTGCCCGTGGTCTGGGAGATGAAACGTCTCCCATCAGCAGGGATGAAATTGGGGAACTCATTCAGGAGCCACCGGTAGGATAAACCTGGGGGGAAAAAGGAAAGGAATAAACTGGACAGGTTTGTCATCCCAGGTGGGATAGACCCAGCGGGATTCCAGGCTGGAATTGGTCTTTCCATGGGAGGAAAAGGGAATTGACTGCACTGGTTGTTGTCTCCTCTCAGGTGGGATGGGCCCAGTGGGATTCCCAGCTGGAATTGGCCCTTGCATAGACACACCAATGTGTCCTGCCTCTGCTTTGTTGTGTTACAAACTCTGAATTAACCCCAAATTTCCTTCCATGAAATTCCCGGCAAATCTGGGAACCCTGTGCTCTGCTGTGTCCCCCTTACCTGGGTAGTGGGGCGGGGGGCTGCAGGTGAACATCACCCCCCAGCCCTCGGCGATCTTCACGGGGTCCCGCTCTTCCGCTGAGAATTCCTGCAAAACTGAACAGGCAGAGTGAAACCCGGACAGGCAAATACAGCTCTGAGCTCTCTCTGCCCCTCCTTGGGTGGGAGATCCAAAAATATCATTGGCTTTCTCCATAAATCTCCAAATTCTCCAAATTTCTACGGGAGTGCCAGGAGATTTCTCCATGGGATGATGCGCTGGAGGGATTCTCTCCAGCCTTTTCCCAGGCAGGCTCTGTTTAAGCCCAGCCTAACTGGGGTTGTGTTTAATTTACCTGGTGGTGCCAAACTTACAGCCAAAGCGGAGCGAGGCCTCCCTGCTCACCACGGTGCCCCTGGAGTTGGATGCCACGCACTGGTAGGAGCCGGAATCCTTGGATTTCACGGGGTTGCTGATCACCAGATCCCCGGCCACCAGCCTGTAGCGGGAATCCGGCTCCAGCTTTAGCTCCGTGCCATTCATCTTCCACCTTCCAGTAAAAACAGAGCAGGGACAGGGATAAATCCCCATGGCCACGCTCATGGGGCTGGGCCCGGTGGATTTCCAGCTGGAGGTGGATTTGGATCTGAACCGAGCCCTGGGATGGGTGGAACATCTCAGAATTGTGGGATTGTTGAGGGTGGAAAATCCCTCTGGGATCATTGAGTCCCAGCTGTGCCCAATTGCCACCCTGAGCACTCAGTGCCACCTCCAGGTGCCACCTCCAGGGATGGGCGCTCCAAACCCCCCTGGGCAGCCCCTTCCAGCCCTTCCCATGAGGAAATTCCTGCTGCTGTCCAACCTGAGCCTCCCCAGCCCAGCCTGAGGCTGTTCCCTCTCCTCCTGTCCCTGTTCCCTGGGACAAGATCCCAAATCCCCCCGGCTGTCCTCTCCCGGCAGGGACAGAGCCAGAAATTCCCCCTGAGCCTCCTTTGCTCCAGGCTGAGCCCCTGCCCAGCTCCCTCAGGACTCTCCAAACCCTGCCCAGCCCCCTCAGGACTCTTCAAACCCTTCCCAGCTCCCTCAGGATTCTCCTGACCCTTCCCCAGCTCCCTCAGCTCCTCACAGGACAAGGAATCTCATTCCCAAGTCAATAATTTCCCATCTATAGAAGCGGAGGGGAGAAAGCAGAATTCCGGATGTTTCTCTCCCGTTCCAGGCGCAGAGGGAGCCCTAAGCTCACCTGTAGGTGGCGGGGGGATTGGCCCGGGCCCGGCAGGCCAGGGTGACCTTTTCTTCTGCCGAGCCCTCAGGGAAGAGCGTGTGGGATGGCTGCTCCTCGAACACCGGCCCGTAGCTCCTCATCCCGCCCTGGGCTTGGCACCAAACTGCGTGAGAGGGGAAAAACCGCTCAGCTCTGCTTGGCTTTCCCTAAACAATCCTCCTTTTCAGTTTTGTAGGGTGTCCCCAGCCGCGAGGAGGAGAGGAGCAGCAATGTGACAACCGCACCCCGTCTGTCAGCACAGCCCAGGCCTGGCCGTGGGGACGCACCCTGCCGCTCCCACCGGGCATCCTGCAGCATTCCCGGCCTTCCAGAGCGACCAGCATCCCTGGGGACACCTGGAGCAAGGAGCAGGCACCTCCTGGAACCCCACAGCTGGAGCTGGGAATGTCCCTGAGGTTCCTCCTCTGCCTGCACAGACTTTGCCTGGTTCGTTCTTCTGAAATCCTCTCCAGGGTGAGGGAGGAGAGGGGAGAACTGGGATCTTCACGGCTCTGGACACACCTGGCAGGTCCCCTCTGTCCCTGCAGCTCCACTGGCTCCTGACACCTCAAACCAGTGAGTTTCTGGTGTGGAAACCAGAGCAAACTGGAGCAAATTAGTACACACCAGTGCAAACCAGAGCAAACCAGTGCAAACCATTCTCTTCCACAGCTGGGATGAGCCTGAAGCTGCTTTTGGGGTGTTCAGACTCGGAATTGATTCTGGTTTTGAGAATGGGGAGGAACAAGAGGGACAAAGGCCCCACCTGCCTGATCCACACCACGCCTGGGCCACCCTTTGGGGACAATGTGCCACTGGGAAGTGACAGCTGCCTTCCTGTCTCAGAATTCCAAATTCCAGCAGATCCCCTCCCACACAGGGCAATCCCAGAACCCCAGAGTGGTTTGGGTGGGAAAAGCTCATCCTGTTCCACCCCTGCCTGGGCTGGGACAGCTCCCAGAGCCCAGGAAGGGACACTGTGAGCCAGAGCCAGGCAGAACCCGCCTGGAAATCTCTTTCTTGCAGGAACAGCCGGTGGGATAATTGCCAGCACGTCTGTCCTCGCTGTCCCTGTCCCCCTGGAGACGCCTGGCCCTTATCAGGGAAGGAGCCACCAGCACTGATAAGCTCCGAGCTGCTTCCCCAGCTCCGGGATCCTTCCCTGCTCTGTAATTGAATTAATGAGCGTCTCCAACCCGCTGTGCCAAGGCCAATCTGTCTCCTTCACCCCCCTGCTCAGCGGGGCCGCTCCTCAATGGAGCCATTCCCGGGATGTTTGATGGAAGAGTCACTTCCAGCCGGGAACGGGCTGGGATCAGCGGGAGCAGCCCTTGACCCGCAGCTCCCGGGGCTCGCCCCACGTTCCGGCTGCTCCGGGAGGAGGCTGGGGAGGGATGGGAAGGGATGGGAGAGGGGCTCTGCTAATTGGCTCCGGGCTGGGAGCAGCTGCTCCCCGTGTCCCTGCTCCAGGCAATTATCCCGGCTCTGCAAGGATGGGGTCACGGGATGGTCCCCACAGGGAGAGGCACCGAGCTGGGGTTCTTTGGAATTGAGGAAAAGCAGCGGGTTTGGGGCTGTTTCCCCCCTCCATCTAGGATGGTTCTGTTCCTAAAGGGAAAGCTGGAAATCCTCTCCCATTTGGATGTGCTCGTGGGATGGTTCCTGGAGCCGCACAGGGAGAGGCTCTGAGATGGGATTCTTTGGAATTAAGGAAAACCAGCAGGTTTGGGGTCATTTCTCATCCCAGCCAGCGCTGTTTTCCTTCTAGGATGGTTCCATTCCTAAAGGGAAAGCTGGAAATCTCTCCCCTTTGGATGTGCTCACGGGGATGGTTCCTGGAGCCGCACAGGGAGAAGCACCAAGCTGGGATTGGATTCTTTGGAATTGAGGAAAACCAGTGGGTTTGGGGTCATTTCCCCTCCCAGCCAGCGCTGCTTTCCTTCTAGGAAGGTTCCGTTCCTAAAGGGAAAGCTGGAAATCCTCTCCCATTTGGATGTGCTCGTGGGATGGTCCCCAGAGCCACACAGGGAGAGGCACCGAGCTGGGATTCTTTAGAATTAAGGAAAAGCAGCAGGTTTGGGGTTGTTTCACCCCTCCATCTAGGATGGTTCCGTTCCTAAAGGGAAAGCTGGAAATCCTCTCCCATTTGGGTCAGTGCTCGTGGGATGGTCCCCAGAGCCACACAGGGAGAGGCACCAAGCTGTGATTCTTTAGAATTAAGGAAAAGCAGCAGGTTTGGGGTTGTTTCCCCTCCCAGCCAGCACTGTTTTCCTTCTAGGATGGTTCTGTTCCTAAAGAAAAGCTGGAAATCCTCTCCCGTTTGGGTCAGTGCTGAGGGAGTCCCGGCTGGAATAAACTCTGCTGACTGAGGGGGAAACAACAATGAGTTAATGGGGAATTAATGAGAAAGAATTAATTGAGTGCTGATAGATGAGTTAATTGTGCTCTGATAGATGGCGGTGGCGGGATCCAGGCTGAGCCGCTTTAATTTTGAGGTTAATTAGGGAGCATAAGGTAAATAATTTCTATTTATTTAACAAATAAAATATCTATTGGTACCACTCCCACCCCTGCCCCTTTCCCGTGGGATTTTTTTATTCCAATCAAGCCAAATCAGGCTCATCCTCCCTCCTGATCCCACCTGGAGCCCGTGTCCCCTTGCTCTCCTCTGCTGTCCCTTTGTCCCTGCCAAGGTTACGGCTGCCAGTGCCAGGCATCGATTTTCCCGCTTGGAATCGATGCCAGGGGTTCAGGTGAATTTTAATCCACAATTCCAAGGTGCCGGGGGTGAAACGCTTGGATTTCACTCATTAAACAAACCAGGGGTTGATTAAGGCAGTAATTAAACAGTTACGAGGAGGGGATAAGGTTAAAATTAAGAATTGACAAATCCCAGAAGTTCTGAGACTGATCCGGGCCCATTCCGCACCCCAGAATTCCCAATTTTTAATGTTGCCAATGCAGGATCTGTCCTGGAGCTCTGGCATTTGGAAAATAGGGAGAAGACAGGCACAAAATTCAGTTTTTTAAGCCAAATTTCAAAGGAGAGGAGTGACCTGCTGGGAATTTTCCATGTTCCATCCAGCTGGAATGAGAGGAAAAACCCCACCATGCCTCTGGAATAACCTTCAGTATCAGGGAAAACAATAATTAACACCAAAATCATGAGAAACAAGTGAAAGCAGAACACCTGAAAATGAAGATTTTGGAGAAGCAGCTGCAAGGAGGTGACTCCAAAGTCTCCCTTTTGGGTGGTTTTTGGGATATTTTTAGGAATTTGCTGAAAGCCCAGGTGTGCAGGAGGCTGCACTTTGTGCTGAGCCCAGGAAATGATGAAATTTCCTCGGTGGAACATTTTCCAAGCTGAATTCCTTTTTCTGAGGACATCCACAGCACAGCCCTGGAGCTCCTGGATCACAGGGGGGAGCTGGGCAATAAATTGGGTTTTCAGGAGTTTTATACCCAGAATCCAGCTGGATTTGGGCTTTTCTAAGGATCAGCTCTCTGCGGAACCCAGGCTTTATTTTGGGTTGTTTTTAACGAGCAGCTTTCTGAGGAACAAAGGGTCAGGGCCTGGGTTCCCAGATTTTCCTGATGTTTTCCCATCTGAACAAAGGCTGGGGAAAGTTTGGGATTTTAGAGTGGTCTCTGTGCACTTCAGAAGCTTTAAATATTTAAATCTCCCTCCAGACCTGGAGGTTTTGGCTCTTTTCCCACTCCATAACATTTCCCTGAGCTTCATCCATCGCTTCCATCCTTTTGTCCCAATCCCTCCTGGTATTCCCAGGATTTCCCCCTGTCCCATCTGCCCTCGCATCTCCATGGCACCACCAGCCAAAGCTCAGTGGAAATCACCCTCCCAGGCTTCCCAGGGTGTGATTTTTGGGGCGTTTTGCCTGAACTCGGGTGGTTGGTGGGAGACCCCAAGTCCAGCTCCGGGGTCAGGCCGATTTCCAAGCGGGATAATTGCCTCTGGATCCAGGGCAGCTCCCCCTGCCTGGGCCTCCTCAGGGATGCAGAGAACATTAAAAGGTAATTAGATATTTATGAGGATGGGCCAGCAGGCTCTGCCCGGGCTGATGGATTGGCTGGAGGACATTAGCCAGGCTCAGCTGGAGAGGAAATGTCTCCCTGCGGAAAAGGGACCTGCAGGGAGCAGCCTGAGCCTCCCTGAGAGCCAGGGATGGGCCCTGGGGTCTGGAAATGGTGCCCAAAATCCACAAATCATCCCCAAAATCCAGAAATGGTCCTTGAGATCCAGACCTTCTCGCTGAGATCCAGGGGTGGGCCCTGAGGTATGGAGAAAATCCCCCAAATCCAGAAATCATCCCCAAATTCCAGAAATGGTCTTTGAGGTCCACACCTTCTCCCTGAGATCCAGGGATGGGCCCTGAGATCTGGAAATGGTCCCCAAAATCCAGGAATGGTCCCTGACATCCAAAAATGTCCCTGAGATCTGGAATTTCTCCCTGAGATCTGGAAATGGTCCCAAAGATGCAGAATTTCTCCCTGAGACCCAGAAATTCTCCCTGAGATCCAGAAATGGCCCTTGAGATCTGGAAATCATCCCTGAAACCCAGAAACGTCCCTGAGATCTGGAATTTCTCCCTGAGGTCCAGAAATCCTCCCTGGCCTCCAGAAATGGGCAGGGGTATCTTTTCAGGGAACAGCCAGCAAGGAATCCCTGGAAAAAGCGGGACGGGGAGTGGAATGAATCCCACTCCCCACGAATGAAGGAAATGAATGCAGGAAACTCCTCCTGCACCTCCCTAAACCTGGGTTTAGAAAGGGGGAATTGTGTCAAACATTCCTGGCCCAGAGGGATATTGGGAGCAGCACAGACACGGAGCAGCCCCATCCCAACCCACGTGGGGATTCGGGACCCGGCAGCGCCGCATCCCAAGGGCGGGAGGTTCCCGGTGGATCCCGGGGCATTTCCCGCCTCCTCCAGCCCCTCCCACGGGAATCTCTTACCCAGGAAGGTGCCGACGGCCAGGGAGGTGTGGATGAACCCAGCGGTGCCTCCCATCCTGCGCCGGGTCCTGCGGAGCCTCTACGGGCGCGTGGGGACGGCGGCCCTGGGGAGGGGGGGACACACAGAGGGGTCAGCAGGGCCCTTCAGCCCCAGATATTCCATAGGGCTGTGATTCCAGAGTCAGCAGGGCCCTTCAGCCCCAGATATTCCATGGAACTGTGATTCCATAGTCAGCAGGGCCCTTCAGCCCCAGATATTCCATGGAACTGTGATTCCAGAGTCAGCAGGGCACTTCCAGCCCCAGATATTCCATGGGGCTGTGATTCCAGGGGCTCTGGGGTCAGCAGGGCCCTTCAGCCCCAGATATTCCATGGAACTGCGATTCCAGAGTCAGCAGAGCCCTTCCAGCCCCAGATATTCCATGGAACTGCAATTCCAGAGTCTGGGGTCAGCAGGGCCCTTCCAGCCCCAGATATTCCATAGGGCTGTGATTCCAGAGTCTGGGGTCAGCAGGGCCCTTCCAGCCCCAGATATTCCATAGGGCTCTGATTCCAGAGTCAGCAGGGCCCTTCAGCCCCAGATATTCCATAGGGCTGTGATTCCAGAGTCTGGGGTCAGCAGGGCCCTTCCAGCCCCAGATATTCCATGGAACTGTGATTCCAGGGGCTCTGGGGTCAGCAGGGCCCTTCAGCCCCAGATATTCCATGGAGCTGCTGTTCCAGAGGCTCCAGAGTCCAGCTGTGCCTCCCCGCTGGCCACCAGCCCAAGTGAGACTCACTCCAGGGCAGAATTCCAGCGGTGCCCGGAGGAGCAGGAGCTGCTGAAGGAGCCCTTTTTGTCCCCATGGGAGGCGACAATCAGAGAGCGGAATTGTTGTCCCTCCTCCTTTGCTATTTCCCATTCTTTCCCCCCCTCCTCCATAAACTCTCCAAGTGTTTTTGATGGAAAACACCAAGCCAGAAGCACAGGGGATATTGGTGGGGAGTGAGAAGGGAGGAATAATTTGGGGGGGGTTGTGAAAATAATGAATCATTTGGGGGAATAATTTGGGTTTTTGTGAAAATAATGAAGATAATGGGAAGGAATTCTTGGCTAGTGAGGGTTGGGATGCCCTGGAACAGGATTCTCCAGTCCTGGAATTGTCCCAGGCCAGGCTGGATGGAGCTTGGAGCAGCCTGGGACAGTGGAAGGTGTCCCTGCCCATGGCAGGGGTGACACTGGGTGGGCTTTAAGGTCCCTCCCAACCCAAATCACTCCAGGATTTGGGAATTCTGTGACAAAGGAATCTTCAATTTAAACTCTTCAACTTCCAAGACATCTCCTGATGGCCTTCCCAGCCTCCTGTGATCCCTAAAGATTCCCAAAGATCACCCGCCAGCCAAACCCTGAGCTCTTTGTGCAGCCCCGAGCCCTCAGTGGGAGCAGCCCCACCCGCGGCCCCGCTTCCCCCGGAACTCCAGCAGGGATTTCGGGCTGATTTCTCCCCCTTTGTTAACAAAACCCCTTTGGAAACGGCTCGCGGAGCTCTCCCGCAGCCCGGCAGGGCCTCGTTTCCCGCTGTCCTCCCCAGAACGCCCCGGCGAGGAGCTGGAGATGCTGCCAAGAGCTCCCGGGCCGCTCCTGCTGCTCATCCCCCTGCTCCAGCTGGTGCTGCTTCCACTCCCGTCCCTGCCCATCTGTCCGCCCCCGAGCCCTCGGAGCAGGGATTAGCCCATCCCCTGGGATGCTCGGCCCCTTTCCAACCCCCCCTCATTACCAGCAGCACCTGAGCAAACAGCAGAGCCCAGCTCGGGCTGCACGAACCAGCCGGGCTCTTTGTGTCCTCACCCGGAGAGAAGGGTTTGCTGCCAGCATCCCAAAATCCATCCCGAAATCCATCCATCCCAAAATCAATCCCGAAATCCATCCCAAAATCTGTCCATCCCAAAATCCATCCCAAAATCCATCCCAAAATTCATCCCAAAATCCATCCCAAAATCCAGCCCAAAATCCATCCCAAAATCCAACCCAAAATCCATCCATCCCGAAATCCATGCCAAAATCTGTCCATCCCAAAATCCATCCCAAAGTCCATCCCAAGTTCCATCCATCCCAAAATCCATCCCAAAGTCCATCCCAAAGTCCATCCCAAAGTCCTGGGGGTTTGTCTTGTCTGGGTTCGAGGGACAGAGAGGGGACAGAGAGGGGACAGAGAGGGGACAAAGGGGACAGGCAGGAGAGGACAGAGAGGGGACAAAGGGGACAGGTAGGAGGGGACAGAGAGGACTGGCATGAAGGCGCAGAGAGGGGACAGAGGGGACAGGCAGGAGAGGACAGAGCGGTGACAGCCGCCCTCAGCCCTGCTGGGATTTTGTTCCCTGACAGGCCCCAAAATGAAGCCGGAGCTCCTTTATCCCGCCCGACCGGGGAGGGAGGAGCCGCAGCCAGCGGGAGGCGGCAGCTCCAGGTGGGAGAGGCCCGAGCTGTGGCAGGGACGGGGAATTTGGGGACGGAGCCCAGCGGGGCGGGAGATGCTCCCACGCAGAAGCCGCTGGTTCCAGCAGCCCTGGAGCGGCTCGGTCACATGGAGTCACTTGATGTCACCGAGAATCCTGCCCCAAACAGCGTCCCGAGCCCACGGCCCGGCAGCCAACACTGCCCCTTTGTTCCCCTGGCCTGTCCCTCCGCCCTGGGGACAAGGGGCAGCTTTGAGCCGGGCGCGCTGTGGGGTTGCGGGAGATGCCAGCCCTGCGCTAATTAATGAGTTGACTTTTCCAAATCTCCGCAGTTCCCTTGCCCCGGGGCTTGGGAGAGGCGGGAGCTGTTCCTGCACCAGCGGCTGCAAATTAAACTCGGGGAGTTTTTGCTCTGGTGCTTCCAGCCCCGTTTTCCGAGCCTGAATCCTCTGCCGAGCCCCGGGAGCTGCCTGGGAGGGCTCCAGCTGCAGCTCTGCTCTCTTTGTTCCCTCACCCCTCACACTCCGAAAACAAGCAGGAAAGAGAGAGGGCAAAGCTGCATTTTGTTATTTTTGTGGAATTCTGGACTGGTTTGGGTGGGAAGGGACCTTAAACCCCATCCCACCCCATACCATGGGCAGGGACATCTTCCACTATCCCAGGTGGCTCCAACCTGGCCTTGGACATTTCCAGGGATGGAGCAGCCACAGCTTCTCTGGGAATTCCATCCCAGCCCCTCGCCACCCTCAGAGCCAGGAATTCCTCCCAGTATCCCATCCAAACCCACTCCCTGCCAGCTGAAATCCCTTCCACAAGGAGGAGGCAGCAGGAGGAGATCTGGTTTGGGCCCGTCCTCCCTCCTGGAGGTTTGGGCTCCTTGGGGCAGCTCCGAAACTGAGGGAATTTCTCTGACATTGCCTGGATTTATCTGACCCCAAGCTCCTGGTCCTGGATCCGACCCTGAGCTGTGGATCCTGGATCTGATCCTGAGCTGTGGATCCTGGATCTGATCCTGAGCTCCTCCAAAGCTCAGGAACACTCTGCACTGGACACTGAGCCCTGCTCTCATCCCTGATTAAGGAAGGGCCACAGGGAGCTGTTTTTTCCCTGTTCCCGGGGTATTTTGGCAGACACCCGAGAGCCTGCTGGTGTCCTGAGAGGGGATCTGTCACTGCTGCTAATGGAGGCTGTCACTGATACCTCCGGGAGCAACGGAGAGCTCCACAGGATCCCTTCCCTCCGGAATGGGGCAGGATGAAGAGCTCCAAATGATCCCTTCCCTTTGGGATGGGGAGGGATGGAGAGCTCCAAATGATTCCTTCCCCCTGGAGTGGGCCAGGATGGAAACTCCACGTGATCCCTTCCCTTTGGGAATGGGGCAGAATGGAGAGCTCCACATGATCCCTTCCCTTTGGGATGGGGCAGGATGGAGAACTCCATGTGATCCCTTCCCTCCAGGATGGAGAGCTCCACAGGATCCCTTCCCTTTGGGATGGAGAGCTCCAAATGATCCCTTCCCTTTGGGAATGGGGCGGAATGGAGAGTTCCACAAGATCCCTTCCCTCTGGAGTGGGCCAGGATGGAAAGCTCCACAAGATCCCTTCCCTTTGGGAATGGGGTGGGATGGAGAGCTCCACAGGATCCCTTCCCTTTGGGATGGAGAGCTCCACAGGATCCCTTCCCTTTGGGATGGAGAGCTCCACAGGATCCCTTCCCTCCGGAACCAGGAGCAATCCATGAATGGGGAGGCAGAGTCAAGGAGCTCAGGGAGATTTGGAGAGGGGCTGGGAGAGGAGGAGCAGCCTGGAACAGCACCCCCAGCCCTGACTGCGGGGCTGCATCCTCAGGAGGACAATTCCAGCAGGATTTTGGGAAGGTCAGGGGTGGATTTTGGCAGGAGATGCCGCGTTCAGCGCTGTCCATTAGCGGGATAAATCAGTGTAATTCCATCTCCTGCACTCAGCCACCAGAGGAGCATTTGGGATTAAGTGGGGCAGCTCCTTCTGCCGCAGCATTCCCCAGGGAGGCATCGCTCTGGCCACGATTCCTCCTGTGCCTCTTTTATCTGGGATCGTGGCTGAAGCTGGAGGGGGCAGGCGTGTGATGTTCCCTGGATTCTGACTCTCAGAACCTTCCCAAGGTTGGGGACACCGTGTCCGTCCCGGCACAGCGTGGCTGGTGAGGGACAAACGGCTTCATTGTCACGGGTTTGTCCTCCTGGAAATCAGGGGTGGATCGAGAGGAAAACTCTGGATTCAGCCCTTCCCGGAGCTTTTTTGGGTCGGATCTGTCGGTGGCTCCAGGTCCTGCAGGAATTCTGAGCCACTCCAAACCCATCTGAGCAAGGAAGGCTCCGAATGAGGACCAAAAGAGGGGCTTGGGGTGGAGTTCTGTCAGCCCAAACGGATCCTGATCCTGGGAGCTCTTTTCCTGAATAATTGGTCGCAGTTCTGGGCTGTCCCCAGGGCTTGGGGGAGTTTCCTTTTCATCCAAACTCTCCCTTTGTGCGGGAGACAAAGCCGGGAGGTGCCTTTGGTCCGGACAAGGAAAGGGGAGCGGGCAGGGAGGGGTTGGGGGGAAAATCGAATGGTGTTTAAAAAAAAAAAGGATATTTTATTATGAGTGGGACTTTCC